TCCACCACCGCCGCCTCTTCTACCTTCGCGTCTACCACCCGATCCGTCGCCCCTCTCACGGTCACCCCTCTCGCCGCCAGGCCTGTCCTTGTCACCGAGCTTAGAGTCCAACAGGCGTTCGTTCTGAAGCAACATGGTCTCGGACCTTTCTGCGAGGGTTTGTGCCAGCTGCTGAACTTTGCTGAGCTCGAGCCTGTGCAGGACGAGCACACCGTTGATGGGATCCAGACTAGCAGCGAGCTCTTCGGTCCAGATCATCTTGCTCACGATGCCCCTGACACTGCGCGCAGGGAGCTCGAAAGTGGATGCAAGATGCGAGAGGCTGACTGTCTTGTAGTACGAAGCGTAGCTGAAGAGGTAAGTGCGCAGACCTTCCTCTTGAATGCGTCGCGCCAACATCGTCTTGACTTCATCCGCACCAGGCAAGAGGTTCCAAATTTTGATCTCTGAGATGAGCTTGGTCGAACCTTGCCAATCGCCATTCTGAAGGGCTTTGCTAGCTTGCATGATGTGATCGCGAGTGCTCTCCGGTGGACCGGAGAAAACTTGCCTGTCAGTGTAGTCCAGCATCCTCCTGAAAGGACGCGAGATGACACGCTTGCGGAGCTCGGGATCTGAGCCAGCAAAAGCCATGTTGGGCACCTCGAGAAGCATTGAAGAGGTGAGATAGATGCACTCTAGCAGCTCGAGGTTGATGTGAAGGTGGAACGGCAGTTGACGTTGACGGTCGAGCTTCTCTTGCTCTGGGGTCAGCGTGGTGTACTGGTTGGATCTTTGGACTCCTTGTGCCAAGAGCTCCTTGACTCTTCCGCTCGCAAAAATCTCCTGCAGAGCGCTCTGAGATTCCCGGACAAGGCCTAGGCGGAAGGCGCACATGCCGATCTGCACCACAACGCGGTTGTACAGAATCTGAGTGGCCGCGTCAGCAAGGCTGATGTTATCCTGCAAGTGGCTCATCAAGAACATGTCTCGCGCAATGTGGTAGTCGCGGTGCAATGCGTGGTGGTACGTGTGGCAGAGCATGGCTCGGGTGCGAAGACGCTCAGCAGCGAGACCAGGGACCTTGTACAGGTGGATGGCCAGTGCTCGAACAAGCGCCGTCGACCCCTTTGACCGCACGAGCTCATCGTTGCTGGGCGCGAGGCGGGAAACGAGCGCAGGTTGAGCTTCGATGCGCTTGGTCTCCAGAGCAGTGACGATGACGTCTTGCTTGGCGTAGACGTGTTCAAGACGGCGCATAACTACGCGGCTAAGGCTGTCTGTCTGCTTGAGCGATTCAAAGTACACCTGCGCGCGTACGATGGTTTGGTAAAGTGTCTTCTCGTCCATCAGTCGGTCAATGTAGTCAGTTGTGTGAGAGTCGATGTTCTGCAAGCTCCTGGTG